AGAGAAATATCAATTGGCTGTCTCCCGCATGCGCCCTTAACCAGGGATTGAATCCGAAACTTAAGTATGTGCCCTGACCCGGAAACAAATTCACAACCTTTTTTGGTGTACAGACAACACTCCAACCAACTGAGCCATCTGGCCAGGGCCATCTTGCCTTCTTTTTGGATTATCATTTCTAATTAATGACCAGTCATCAGGGCATGTCAGCCCTGGTGTCCCAGAAGAGGGAAGTAGGGAGAGTAAGAGCAAGCTTAGAAGACACCCTGCATTCTCACTGCACCCCCCTCCAGGTATCCAGCAAGAGGTCAGTGGGTCTCAGACGCCTGCAATGTTCTGTGATGCTCTCTGGTGGTCAGCGCACGTCATAGCGAGTGGTTGAACTCCAGATCCAAAGACCGCCCAAGGGGACAATTTGTATACTAGGCTTTTATTATATAAGGATTGAATTATGAGTCCCTTATATATACAGGTGTGCTGCTGACTGTAAACATCTCATCAACTTCACATTTGATGTTGCTAGCTTGAAACTGGCCATGACAGAAACATTTGTATCATAAATATCTGCAAAAGCTTCATCCCCACCCCCAACCAATTGTAAACATTTACCACCAGCACACCACTGTTTATATATTTTGACTCTAATCTTTTGCCTCAATGAATTCTTAGCAAATCATTTCCAAGTTTTCTGCAACATTTGACACTATTGCTCATACACACTTAACTGCCTTGATTTCCATTTCACCCTTCTTTTCTTAGATTCTTTTACTGAAAATCAATGGTGACTTACACATTTAGAGTTTTAATTCTACAATATCACCACTATTCCTGTAGCTTATTTCTAAATATCTAGTAGATAGTTCAACTTTTATGTCCCACCATAAGCGTAAATACAAACTAGAAAAGAATTAAGTGATATAATTAAAAACTAAACTCAAACGAAGCACATGGGAAAAGACTTACCCACAATTTCTAACACTTTAAGTCACCTGAAAGGAAAGTTAGACTGAGGCTGGGGGAATCTGCTTCCAAGATGGCTCACTCACATGGCTAATGACAAAGGGTCTCATTTCCTTGCCACATGAGCCTCTCCCTAGGGCCACTTAGTGTCTTTAGGATATGGCAGCTGGCTTCCCCCATAGAACAAGTTATGCAAGAGCCCAAATTGGAAGCCATGTTTTTTCTGATCTAGTCCCTGAAAAGACAAACTCCCTCATTTTCATAATATCCTTTTGGTTACACAAGTCAACTCTATTCGGTATTGGAATAGACTCTCTAGAAAGTGGGGCTCATTTGGGGGCTATCTCAGAGGCTATGACAGAGATTGATCCTTTAAAATTATTGAGGCTTTTTAAATGGCTTAATACATAGTTGGTCTTTGTAAATATTCCATGTATATAGTACAGAAATGAGGCAGAAATGTGTTACATGGCAATAAATAACCAATGCAGGCAATGTGCCACGTGTCATTAGAAGAACAGAAAATCTGCTCATGCCCAGATCCCCCAATGACACAAAGCACAAATATGCTACACTGAGAAAAGAAATGGTCACTCACTTGTACATAAGACATTCCACTGCTGTTAGCCAGTTTACCTACCATAATGAGAATAAGCAGGAAGCTTGCGTGAGCTCCAGAGCAATGCTGTTCTACAACTTTCTACAATAACAGAAATATTCTTTATCTCTGCTATCCAATATATCAACCACTAGCCACATGTAGATAGTTGGCTAGTGATGAATGCAGCTCTAGACTCCACTCTGAAAAAATGGAGAAACTGTCTGCTCCTGGAGGAGGCATGGAAAAATCCACTCGTAGGCCTGCTAAGACTAAAATGGGAACAGAAGAACTAAAAAGCCCACCTTTAAAAGCCTTGCACTGCCCTAGCTGTTTTGACTCAGTGAATAGAAGGATCTGGGGTTCGATTCCAGTCAAGGGCACATGCCCGGGTTACAGGCTGGATCCACACTAAGGGGCGTACAGGAGGCAGCTGACCAATGATTTTCATCATTGATGTTTTTCTCTCTCCTCTCTGAAATCAATAAAAAAAATATATATATTTTTAAAAGGCATAGTTAACTGTCCTTTTTTTTAAAAAAGCCATGCACCAAGTAATAAGTAATAACAATCTATAGCTATGGGAGGGGCAAGAGCATGAAAAGAAATGTCTAAACTCCCCTCCGGCCCCCAAATGTGGCACAAGCTGAAAGATGAAAGTAAAATAGAAACACTGAGAAAAATCATCTGATACTCCAGTTCTCACACATAGTATTGGCAGTCCATCCCTGTAGGAATCTGAAGCCTTTGGTATGCTACAACCACAAAACCCAATCCCAGTTCAATTATTAACTAGATTGACCAATACCTGTTCACACTAACAACCTAACAAAAGTAGAGGCATAGTCTACTTCTGGGTAGAAATATTATTTACCTCAGTCTCTACCTATCTCTTACACTGAAATTCAATCCAAAATTATGAAACACACACAAAATACAAGAGACAAAACAGTCAACAAAACAGACCCAGAGATGGATCAGATATTGAAATTATTGGACAGATACCACAACTATGTCTAATATATTTATAGATCTAGTTGAAAATTTTAGCAGAAAGATGGAGAATATTTTTAAAGGTAAGTACAAATGCTAGAAATAAAAAAAATATGACAAATTATTTGTCAGGATTATCAGCAGAATGAACACAACAGAGGAAAAAGTGAACCTGTATAAAGTGCAATAAAAATTATCCAAACTGAAATAAGGGGAAAAAATAGAAAAAGGGGCACAGCAACTAAGAGGTGAGACAATAGCAAATGGTCTAACATATTTTTACTTAGAGCCTCAGAAGTAGAAAATGAGCCAAAAGAAATATTTGAAGAGACATTGAGCAAAATTTTTCTAAACATAATGAAGAAAAACAAACCACAGATCCAAGAACCTCTGAAAAACCAAAGCAGGAAAAATAAAGAAAAACACAACTAAGTACATCATAGGCAAACTACTGAAAAGTAGTGATAAAGAAAAGAATCCTAAAGGGTAAACAACGAGTGGGTGCCACCACATCTCTTGGAGAGGCACTGCTGGGGCACAAAGGCTCTGCCAGGCACTGATTTTGATGGGTTCTAGCAACAGGGAAGACAAGATGGAGATGTGGGACTGACAGCCAGCTAGGAACAGGACTTCTATAAGGACAAATATGTTTGAAAGGCTGTGGTCCAAGGCCATTTTTGCTGGCTATCAACAGGGTCTCCAGAACCAGAGGGAGCACACAGCTCTTCTTAAAATTGAAGGTGTTTATGCTCAAGAAGAAACAGAATTCTATCTAGGCAAGAGATGTGTTTATGTGTACAAAGCAAAGAACAACACAGTGACTCCTAGTGGAAAACCAAACTAAAGTAATCTGGGGAAAGGTGCTCGTGCTCATGGAAACTCTGGAACAGTTCGTGCTAAATTCCGAAGCAACCTTCCTGCTAAGGCTACCGTGTAATTGCTGTACCCCTCAAGGAAACTTACTGAAAATAAATAAAATGGATTTGTTTTCCTGAGGGAGGTGGGAGGAGGGGAAGGAGAATCCTAAAGACAGACAGCTAAAAAAGAAACATAATAGAGGAACAAAGATAAGAAGGCAGTAGACTTCTCATTAGAAACTATGCAAGCCACAAGACAAGAAAACAACATCTTTAAAGTACAGTAGTTTCCCCTTATTTGTGGTTTTACTTTCCACAATTTCAGTTACTTGCAGTTAGATGCAGTCCAAAAATATTCAATTTCCCCAACCATTGATATCTGCTCTTGACATCAAATATAGAGATTGTCATGGTTCAAAGATCCAGGATCACCTAAAGCAGGTGATCCTTCTCTGATGTATGGTCAGAAGGTCAACAGTAGCCTAGCGCTAAGTCACAATGCCTACACCATTTATCTCACTTCATCTAATCCCATAGGCATTTCATTCACAAAATAAGGGTGATTTCAGTAGAGTAAGATATTTCAAGAGAGAAAGAAAGGCCATACTCACATAACTTTTATTATAATATATTGTTGCAATTGTCCTATTTTATTATCATTGTTATAATTGATTACTGTGCCTAATTTATAAAATTAAACTATCATAAGTATGTATGTATAGACAAAAATAGTATATTCATATATATACAGAGTTCCATACTGCCTGCATCCACTGGAGGTCTTGAAACATACTTCAGCAGATAAGGAGAATTCTATAGTCAACCTAGAATTCTATAGCCCTTCTCCATAAAAGGGTTGAAAAAAACATTTCATTGCTAGTGGACCTGAACTACAAGAAATGCTATATAAACTTCTCCAAGAAAAAAAAAAAAAAAAAAAAAGATCCAGATAGGATATCAGCATTAGTCAAGTTTTTCTGTAAAAGTCCAGATAATAAATAAAATGATATACTATTATTTGAAGGTAGAATGTGATATATAGATATATATAGGTACATGTATGTATATATCTATATACACATACCCCCCCTCTATATATATATATATATATACACACACTGAAATTTTGTGTAATAAATCACTAAAAAATTTAATAGTTTATAAGCCAATCATAAAACATATTCAATCAAAAGGCAGAAAAGTGGGGAAAAGGGAATAAAAGCAGACAGTAAACAGAAAACAAATAGCACAGTAATAGATTTAAATTCAACCATATCAATTACGTTGCTATAAATGGTCTACATTCCAATTATAAAAGGTCTACATTCCAATTAATGGTTGTAAGACTACATAAATAAGAATAATATACTGATACAGTGATGGAAAAACACTATAGAAACTAAAAGAAAATTGGAACATTAAAAACCTAATTTAGGTACCTATGGTAGACTGAAAGCAAATGAATATAATTAAGATCAAGCTGAAGTAATCTGACTTGACTATTTTTGTCTTCCTTTGATTTCCCCATATTTAATATCTCAAAGTTAACTCTCCCCAACCTCCCCAAATATAGCAATGTTCATAACACTGACCTTGCCATGGCTTCTTTCCACTTTCTGAAAACATTTATTCAGAGACAGATTATGTCGAACAGAATTCTTCCAGCCTGTTGGTGCAGTAGCAAAATATGGGAAGCGGTCCAGAATCCAGCTATAAATTTCTTTGACAGGCAGACATTTATTTGGAGAGTGCTCTATAGCCATATAAATGAGAAGACTAAAAGAGTATGGGGGCTTTGAAGTTGCTGATTTTTTTTCTGGGTTCTGGTAGCAAGATGGTCTTAAAGATGGCATATCATCTCCCTCTATGTCATACAAAGGACTAACAATTGGAAGACCCTCACTTCCAAAGCTGAAGTTTGTTAGAAGATTAGTACTTTCATGAAGCCAGTTCAAGTTTGTGAGTTCATCATCTGCTGATTCACAGTCCATTAGAGTGGCCTTTGGCCTGGCAGCATCAACAGCTTCAGGCAAGCTTCCCATCTTGTAAATCTGGCTCAATCCTGCACCCTTTTCAGTTCCTGGAGTTTCAGCTCTCTTTTCTGGAGTCATTCCAATTATTGGACCCATTTACTCTTATAGTTCTGTAACAAAGGAAATAATTATCATTCAATGTAATGCTTAAGAATCCTAGGCTCATGAAAAAATAAAATATATATTTAAATATCCCCAAATCAAAGAAATTTTGCAATTATCTCACATAATATTTAAGCATAGTAGTTGTATAATTAAAATTTACAACATAAAAGAATTTCATATTATTTGATATGGTTGTAAATAATGCAGCATTATGATACCATATTGTATGAGTGATATAAACAAAATTAAATAATGCATATTGAGTAATTAAACAATATTCCAAATAAGCCCTTTCCTGAAATCTAAAATATTTATTATAAAGAAAGAAACCATTTCTCATATTTTTACATTATATTAATATAATACTATAACAATAACATTTCTTATTCATTATCAGTAAAATTATATTTGTTATTTCTTTTGTAAATTCCAGTGTTTTTACATCTGCATTCTACATAATATCAAGTACTGAGACTGAAAGGCTGACATTCTCTTAATAAAGTCTGAAGTGTTACTATGTTTTCAGAGAAAAAAACATTTCTAAACTATTCGTTTGTATTTCTATTTTCTCAAATGACTTCTCTTTTGCTTTTTAAACACACTTTAATTCAAAACACTTATCATGGGAGAAGTAACTGACCAAAGAAGAAAGTGATAGAGCTAATGTGCTATTTAATTTATTTAATGATTCAAGAAAGTATGTCATTTCTGAATTCAGTGAAAAACTTCTGTTTTCCATTAGTCTGGTACAGTGGTTGGCAAATTGTGGCTTACAAGCCACATGCGGCTCTTTGGCCTCTTGAGTGTGGCTCTTCCACAAAATACCACGTGCCGGCATGCATGTACAGTACGATTGAAACTTCGTGGCACATGCGCAGAAGTGTTTTCGGCTCTCAAAAGAAGTTTCAATCATTGTACTATTGATATTTAGCTCTATTGACTAATGAGTTTGCTGACCACTAGTCTAGTCAATATACTTATGCTTAGATAACTGAAATAAGATAAGTAACTCCAAAGCTTTCCTTTACCTAGAATATAGCTGGCAGGTTATTACAAGAATTATAAAAATTGATCAATTTTAGATGTAGAGCAGTATTTGAATTCTGGTAGTAACTAGTAGATATAGTCTTAGAGAACTCCATTTTCAGTAGTAGTAGTTAATAATTTGGGAGTCAGCTATTTATTGTATCTCAAGTAACCATCAGTAAAAACCCTATAATATAGGCACTATTATTAACCCAATTTTATAGATAAGAAAAATGATTCAGAGAGGTTAAGCATCCTGTTTGAGGTTATCTGGCTAGCAACTGGATATGCCAGAATTTAAACCCAGCAAACTGACTTCAGAATCAAAGATCTAACCATTACATTATCCTGGTGACAGTATATATAAACTACCTGTGAGTACCAGTTATCCAATCCTACCCATTTTTTATTTTATCATTGTTCTCTCCATAACTAGTTCCTCTCTCTCACATACACCTATATCTATAATTTCACACAAGACACTGTAAAAAGGAAAAGACCAAACTATAATTAATTTGATGTCTATTTCAATCAGTAATAAAAACCACACATACATAAACATATGCACATATGTGCACACAATAAGTCTCTCTACCCATAGAAAACTTTAAAAATGTAATGGATGAGAATTTGTTGAAGAAAATCTTGTTTCCTTTAAAAAAATATATCTTAGTATTTACTGTCCAAAGAAGGAAATGACTAATTTCTAATGGTCCACTTTTGCCTTTTCACCTATATTTTACTCTATTTATCTTCAATTACATATAGAAATTAGAGAGTACCAAATAGCACTGACTAATATTACAGACACTATGTTATGGGCTTTGAAATGCATCATCTCTACTTACTCCTCCCTATTATTTAGCTCTATATATCATCCTTTCTTTTTGACTGTGAATTCCATAAGGGGCAAGAGTCTTTTATTTTTGTATTCCTAATAAATCTTAACAAAACGTGGGCATGAGTAAGCAATCAAACAATAATTATTTAAAACTAAAATTAACCAATAATCAATATACCTGTTTATTTGGGACCAAATGTTATGCTATCTACCTTTACAAGCTATTTATTTTTGAAACAAATTCTTAATGCTAGGAAACATGCTCACTGGTAACAATAAGAAAATTGAAATTCACTGTTTATAAATAAAAAAATGGAAATGAAATAAGGCATTTGCCTAAGTTCTAAAGCTAATAAAAAGGAGAGACAAAATTATAAACCATGCCGAGTTCAATACTCAAATTTTTTGTCCATTAAAGTACACTCGATCTCTTAAGGAATTTATATTTTAGCAACAGTACCTAAAACAAATAGATACTGTTGACAAATACGAGAATATATAGTGATAGAAACTAAACAATATGTTTGCAAATACATGTTATTCCTCTGAATTACAAGTTGAGAATAAAATCTTATTTGAAGCTATAAAGTAATATTATATCATCAAATATGTCAAAGATTACAGCCAAGCAAAGTTAAAAATCAAGTACTGACAGTAAAAGGCTAATATGCTCTTAGGTTTGAACTGTCACTGTATTTTCAAGAAGAGGAATGTTTCTAAACTATATTTCAGAATACTTTTGAACACCATCCACTTAAAACACTAAGTCTACACAATAAAGAGGCAAATAATTTTTTCCACAAATAAGTATATAAATAGAAAATAAATGTAGAAAATCTTCAACTCCACTGATGATCACAGAAATGCAAAGCAAACAAAATGTGATATTAAATATGATAATGTAATACAATACCTAAGATGCAATAGGCACAAATACTAGTAGTAATAAAAGTAATAGTATCTATTTTTGGTTTACAAATATAAACAATTTGGAGCAAGGGCCCCAGGCCATTTTAGACAGCTACCTAGCAATATGAACCCAGAACCATTAAAAATGTCAAATTCCTTGACCTAGTAATTCCACTTATTAGTCACTTCAGTGAAATAATCCTATGTAAAGTAAAAGACCCTCTCTTCTCTTTCCTCCTCTCTCTTACACAACACACACACAGACGTCCATCCAAAAATTATAAAATAGAAACTTTAAACAACTCACATTTTTTATTATAGAGTAACTAGTGACCCACTTCATAGATTTGTGCACTTTGAAAGGAAAATTAGAAGGTGGGCAGCGGGACGGGAGTGGGGAGATGGGCTGGGCACGCCCTGAAGCAAACCTCCCTCGCTCCCTCCCCACCTGTCGCACCTGGGGTGGCAGTGTGGCTCGAAGGGCATCTGTATTGTGAGCGGGGTCCCTCCAGCAGGTGGGGTCCCTTGGCCTGGCAGGCAGGAACCAGGCTGAAAGTGGCTCTCCGACATCCTCTGAGGGGTTCCAGAGTACGAGAGGGTACTCTGCAAAGTTGCTGTCATATAGGGTGTGGAACGCAAACGCAAGTGTGCAGTTTGTGATAACACATTTTCAGCAGAGATATTATTTTTCCTATTAGCAGAAATAATCTTAGAAAGATCATTTTGTTATCCTTGGTGACACTAAGGCAAGAACTTCTAGATCACTCTTACACCTAAAATGTACAGCCCTAGGAAACTACAAATTAATGGGGAAGACTATTTCCTGTTTGATGTTCTACCTTGGCTGGGTCTGGGTTTTGCTTCCTAATCCTTGAGCCCCACAAAGCCAGAAAATAGAAGTTCACTTAATTTGGTAAATACCTTCAAGGCAAAAGCCAGGTTCAACATTCAGCTTACCTTCACTAGGTTTCTAATTAGTGTTCGATCTAAATATTCTTTATTCTGTGCCAGAATATTGATGCATTTTAGGTTATTTTCAGCAGAAAGGCTGGTCCAGATATTTAGTTCACCATTCTGCGGAAAACAGATATTTACATTAATTTATAATGGCAATTTATCTCTAACATGCATTAAACTGTATGTTAGAGCATTGATTCTTACATTTCTTCTGCCTCAGCATACTGGAGGAATTTGATTTAGTCATATCAGTAAGAGTTGCTCATTATGACCATGATTCCCAACTGGAATTAGGTACAGAACATTTCCCTGGATGCTGAAGTTGATTATCAAAAACTTGGTGCAGAATTTTAAAGAGGGTGCTTTCATCACTTTTGAAAACCATACTTAAAGACAGTAAAGATATTTTATCCCTTAACTATGATTCAGTCCATAATTATAAACAAGTATTACTCTCTTGATATAAGTAATACTTGTAGAGGCTGCTAAAGTATATAGGGCTATTTGCCAGTTTATCAGTGTTTCTCAAATCAGAATGTTCCGAGGATTTTCCTGTGGGTCACAAGCTTTGTAAATTTTCATTTTTTGTTTCAGAGTATTTTCATTTCAATTACAGTATAAAAATGCATTTTTACTGTTTTCAAAGAGAAAAATAAAAAGACTTAAAACTGCCGGGACCGGTTTGGCTCAGTGGATAGAGCGTCGGCTTGGGGACTGAAGGGTTCCGGGTTCGATTCCGGTCAAGGGCATGTACCTTGGTTGCAGGCATATCCCCAGTAGGGGGTGTGCAGGAGGCAGCTGATCGATGACTCTCTCTCATCGATGTTTCTGACTCTCTATCTCTCTCCCTTCCTCTCTGTATAAAATCAATAAAATATATTTAAAAAAAAAAAAAAAAAAAAAGACTTAAAACTACTCAAGGAACTAAAGTCAGTGATTCCTCAAAATGGGACCTATAATTTTTTTCATAGAAAGATCCTTACATTACTCAAGTTGAGAAATACTGCTCCACACGAAAGGCCTTACAGTGCTATGTCTGAGTTACTAGATTAATCTTAGTTCAATATCTCAGTCTTCATTGGTACTGTGGTCACTGTACCTGATCATACACCTGTATGACCAACTTAGCAAAAATCTTTAAGGGCAGACACACTTCAGAATTCAGAGTATTATTCTAGAAAGGGACTACAATGCAAATATATGTTTTTATGTGATGTGTCAGTGAAGTCTGAGGCAGCATCCCATAATAAACATGTTA